AATGTATAAAAATTAAAAATACATAGTAAAAGAGAATGTAAAGAAATAGACTACATTTATTGAGTGTATTTACCTTTAAGATCAGACGAAGATACTGGCAAAGGTGGAGGAAATTAGCGTAGGAGATTGGGGAAGTGTTTACTTTCATGCCTTACCGTTTAACTTAACTTACTGGCTACACTTTTAATGCTACAATTTATAGCCTTTATCGACTTCTTCGTACATATAGAAAAAATCGCACATACAGAACTACTACGATTGTACTGCCTTGCCAAGTCAACAACACGCGCACCTCGCTCATGTTTTTCGATGATTTCGTGCTTTATATCCAAGGCCATCATCCCTTTCTTCTTCTCATCACTGATCTTGGCTCAGGCATTCTTAGGACCCATGGTTACAACTAAGAAATTTTCCAAAATAAAATAAAGCAACAGCAATACGACAGAGATGCTGGCGCGGCAAGATAACAACGTGAACTGATCGCTCGATGATGGCGGATGGCATAAGCTCGCTCGCTAGTTCGTAACACAGATTTCGGCTCCTATCATAAAGCAAAAAATTGACCGAGCGACGGCTCGATCTCGGAAAACTCGTAAATTGATTCACTTATAAGTCAAGGTTTCACTGTACGAGGAATACACTTAGAGACTGACCTATGCTGGTGGGTAAACGAAGACTTGGTATTCAGTTTAATCAGTGCATGGATAGAAATGTTTGTTTGAAACTAAGTTGGAACAACAACGAAGTAACGCTAAGCTAAAACCTCATGTGGAATTTTATATCTGCACCTACGTACACTGCAGCATTCATGTTTTATCATATGTCTCCTTGATGGAGGATTTAGGACGATCTGAAACTGGAGAATTCGGATTTAAGAAATGTGTGATGTCATCCCGGATGGGACTTGGCGAATTTTCAAATTAATTCCTTTATAAAAGAATCCATCTCCGTGTTTGAAGTTAACAGTATATTAAAAGTAATTAGCAATAATGCCCTTAGTTCTTCCCATAATAAATTAATATTGAATTCAAATTCATATGTTTTCACTTGCACATAATATTTTGTAATTTTTTGCTCAAAAGAAAGGCAGGTTTCAACAATGCATTTTTAATAAACTTTCATCTACGGGTGATTGAGGAGTGTCTCATTTGACGGGAATAATTCATACGGTAATCAAATAAATCATGTTTTGAGGGTTCCAAAAAGTACATCGCTGGCGTAGTTCAATAGGAATTTAACTGAACACACTTTTCGTTATGATTATGTATCGTGTGATTCGTATTCTAACTTTTTTTCAGAGACAATTACTGACGATGATGCCACACGTGTGGTGAGAACTTTCAGTCAGAATTTTTTTCTCGTATACAGTGGTCCTCTGTATCATGTAGCGCTATCTGATCAGTAAGGTGGAGATACTGCAATGAACTGGAGTTGTCGCCACTGCAAATCCAGTTGATTCCTGCTTGTTGTCATGTCGGGAGGCCGAAGAGTAATATCCCTGTGCATCTTCCCTTTTGATCTCTGTTCAAATCTGGAATATGGGTCTCATTCGCTCACGAATCATTGCGTACGGAACGTCAAGCATGAGAAATTGTTCGCTCTTTGCAGACATCTTCGTCAGTGCCGTGGTTTGGGGACAAGTTTGTGTTTAAGTAACGCATTCCGTCAGCAGCACACATTGTAGATTGATGACTTCGATGAAGATGAAACCAGTGGCAGTGATACTGAAAATTGTCATGATTAACATATGTCTTCAAGACATAAAGGTGTAATTATGCGTCTTGTGATGTGAAGGTGTATCATATTGCGTTCAATGCTATCATTGCAGATGACTCTCAGCAGCGGAAGTACAGGTAGTCTCAAATATCAGTTAAAATCATGTTCTTCAACTTAAAATCGTTAGGTTACAATTATTTCACTAATGAAATCTGAAAATTTTAATATTTACTTAGACGGTTAGGATGCAGAATTATTTCAAAATTTTGGTAATATTCCCGCCATCGTTTTCGTTGTCTCAAAAATTGCTATAAAAATTTGGTATTAAAAATAATGATTCTGGAAAAATTATGAACCTAGTATCGAAATGTCTTTTAAGAGTGGTTGATAAAAAATATGCAGGTTGCATGGTTGGAGACCACTGATTTTGAAACCAACTTTTCAGAGACACGGACACTTCCAATAATCTAGATTATAATAAAAGGAAAGAGAAAACGCTGAATATAATTCAGAATTTAACACTGATATAAATTTTAGCACTTATCAACGTTGATCTATTGCATACACAGCAATTACTATTGTTTATAGTGTGTTCTAATTCTAATTTGCGATAGAAACTTAACGGAATTCTGATACGTCTTCGATTTATTTAAAATTTATCATCTTGCCCATTAGGGCATTAAGAAGAACA